TTACGGTAGTCAGTAAGGTGGAAAAACATTGACTAGATCATATGCAGTAACTTCAGGGTCTTCCGATTACTACGCTGCAAAATTTAGCACCCTTAGCATTTGTAATCCAGCCGAGAACGATTCTGGTGCATTCTGAACATCAAAACAGGAAGGAGGCAATCTTCACTTTTATAAATTTAGACCCATTCTTCAAAGGGTACAGAGATGGAATAGAATTGTCGTCATTACATATAAGCCTTTGCTAATCACTACGCGGATTATAGCAGCACAAGGGTTTCCATGCCCTCATTCGAGCGATAGCTAGTGCAGTTCACATAGTGCTTCTTATGATATCAATTAGCACACGTGATACTTCAAGATGGTCAGCAACAGACTGCCCATTAGACGCAGCGGAACTGGTCATAGCAACTATAGAAGTTGCCGGCTTCATCGCCAGAAATCAGCAGCCGATCGGATTATCAGAATCTGTATGATACGACTTTTTATGTTTCTTCGTTTAATTCCTATTTATTACTATAACTTAGTTGCCATAAATTAAACCATAATCTTATGATAAGGTATAAAAAGAGAAATGTATGATGGTAAAGAGCAACAAGAAATGAAAGCATACCCTCCCGAAAATATTTCCTGGCATCGGCAAAAAATGATCCTTCCATACACTATCCAAGAACCACTTGAAACTTTTGCAGTGCAGTCGTTTTCGTAGCTCAACACGATCACTTACGTCAACCATTTCACGCATTCTATAGGCTTCTGAATGTTTCTTCATATAGAATTATTATAGATTTTTCGAATCCATAAGGTATTCAAACTTTCATCACAGATATGTTTTTACTAGGATTTCCTGCACTAACCCGTTTATGCATTCTTTCAATTTCAGGCAAGTGATTTTGGCATCAGCCGGATCCAGAACGCGAGGCGCGCTCCCACACCCTCCCTCACTCTCGCCTATTTCTCCCTCTCTCATTTTTGACTCAGCTAGTATAAAGTGTCCGAAAGTTAGTAAGCAGGGGTCAGGCCCAAATGATGTGCAGTTCGTACAATTAATAAAACCTATCATACGTGGCGCTGTTTTGTAGAAGTGAAATTTCCACTCGTCCATCCACACTTCGGCTACTCGCAACAAATTATTGTTGAGAACAGCTCCTGACTGACGACCCGGAAAATCATGCGGCGACGCTCGACGAAACACATGACCCACGTGTGAACATGGCAAAATCTCAATCCGTCCACCGCACTGCCAGATCTGACGGAAATAACAAAATGATTAAAGGGGTACATTTGCTCTGTGAAAATTTGGTGTGTTATTAGTGGAATCAAAAGCTTTCCCATCTACTGATGCAGTCAGATTTTTTTTAAAAAAAGCAATTCCTGGCACAGCCAAGATTTTTTGAAAGTGAAACGCTGTAACTGCACCAGAATTTTGCCAAAGACGATATTTTTAATCCGCTGGTATTCTCATCAAAGGGTACATTTAACGATTCTGGCATAGGACAAATTTTTTTGACATTTGCAGCATCGGGGTGAGGAAAAATCCTCATTTTTTAACCAGCTATTGAAACAACAACAACAACAATAACAACAGCAATAATAATAATAATAATAATAAAAGATTACTAATGAATACGGTACGAGCGGAATGAATCTACAGTGCAGAAAACCAAGGCGTTTGTTTGCTAACGCCTGTAGCGTAGAATAAGGATGCTGAACTCAATTAACCTGACATTTACATCTACCTCGGCCAGATTACTATTGTTTCAGTCCGGGAAATGCATGTAGGAAGTTTAAAGAATAACACAAATTTCACAGTACCATCGATCACCTCAAACGTCGAACTGAAAGAACCTTGTCTATCTCTTTCAAAACCACATGTACATCACTTTCAAGCCCCAAGTGCGATTGAAAGCGAAGAAAATGGTGGTTTTGAATGAGTGCTGAATGCTAATTAGCGATTTAGAATGGCCACTCATTCAAAAGTCAAATGAACCGTGTCCAGAAAAAGGATGTTTGTAACAAATGTTCGCCAGGCTGCACTCTTCACCAGTTCACGTTTATTTTAATGTGATATCAGAAAAATAATAAAATGAATACCCTGAGCGAAATTTCGATGTTTTCACCACCCCAAATATCCATCTCGGGATCGTAAGCACCGATTTCTTCGAAATATTTCCTATCAATGCTGAATAAGCCACCAGCCATCGTTGGCGAGCTTTAAATTTGTAATTTTTGTGATTTTAGCTACAAAAGACAGGATCTGTGACATAACGAAACGCATATCTCCCAGATAGATCTTTTTTATGATTCTTTACTTTTATGCAAATGCAAAAACGCATGTCGTCAAGAAGATCTGATTAAACTCATCATTTACTTTTTATGCGTTTTTGCTGTGCAGCGCTATAGCAGCGCTATAGCGCTGCTACAGCCAGCA